TTCAATAAGTATACTCTGAGATGAGACTGCAATTTATAAAGAAGAAAAAAGAATGTCGACTCAACTCAACTGAATTGATGCTTCCTTTTCCTTTTTCTTAAGTGTGCTTGTTTTGTGCTTCGGCACATCTTGCCACTTCCAATTTCTATCCATAAGTCAAGTTCTATAAGGAGATCTCATCTCTTAAGCTATAACTATTTCAAGCCTAAGAGCCTAGTAGCCTACATCAACAACAATAAATTTAGGATACAAAATTTGAGCCACAAGTATGAGCGCATTTGATATCACATTATGGTGTACATAGCCAAGCTTACTAAGAAACCCAACAAAGCACCGGCTGTGACTTCAACTTCAGTGTGGCCAATCGATTCTTTCAACAGAGTTGAACGATTGCCAGCTCTTTCTAAACCTTGCTCGGCATCAGTTCCTAAGCCAGAAGACATCTGTGTGTCAGTAGTTTGCCTCATTTTGTTATCTGAGAGAGACACTAAAGGGCCGTTTGTTGGTTTTGATGAGAAAGAATTTGCTTCCTCAGACAACAGAGACCTAAAGCTATCCGACTTTAACGACGAAGACGATGATGTTTTCGGTTTAGGGTTAATTCCACCTCTGTCCTTGGTGGGAACTGCGTTCATCCTTGTACTTTCAGGCAGTGTTTTGTTCAGTACTTTTGCATGATTGCCAACTTCTCTTCTCACGCCCTGAAAAAGTAGAGATTTGCCTTCAGTTTTTGGTTCAGACCCACGTAAGCAAATACAAATTTGAACACATTGTCATCAGTAATTTACAATGTGAATACAGTAGCAAAAGTCGTACTATATACGTTGTGCCCGGTGTTGATATCTGAAACTAGCAAAAACTTAATTAAATTGATGATGATCCCATCAAGAAGAAACCTCTAGCAACTACATTTAGAAAAGGAAGGCGGGGTATGAATTTCAAAAGCACAAAACTTCTCACTATTCTTCAATCCACCATCAATAGTAGAAGAAGAAGAAGAAGAAGAATGCCAATTTTTTCTACTAATCTCACAAGGGATCCTTTCATATTTTATGTGGGAAACAAACAAGTAAATTTATTATTATTTTTTATAGGAAACATGCAGATATATATAAAAGGGTACAATCAATGTGGACCAGCAGTCCACAAAACTCAGAAACTAACCACAGCCTCAAAGAAAACCTCCAAACTCAAAACAACAGAAAACAAGCCACCAAAAGCAAGGGAATAAAGTATTATTAACTGTTATTGCTTAGTAATCTAAAGCTCTCCTTCCTGTAATGACGAAGATGGAATTTTGAGATTTCATGAAGAATTTGAAGTTGAATGTATAAAATCTATCACTACTAGTATGATCTCACATTGATATTTCCGAAATAATTATTTGTATTACAAAGCACGCAATACTATCTGATAAGAAAGTAATCTCCATCAGAATGCTTTTCAATGCAGCAGTGTTGTACACTTTTGCAATATATCAAACACAAATCATCTCAATAGCACCAAATAACTGCTACAATGTAACCCAGAAAACAATTTCTGCCACATTATGAGTGCAGCACTAGGCAACAACTATGGGGACTGGAAAAGGTAGTGAAGAATGGGAGACATTAATATCAATTGGCTGTAGTAACTATAATTACACCTGCAGACATGCTACACCCTAGAGCACATATAAGCAAAGCTTAAGCTGAACTAGCGGAAAACTCTAGTCTGATTTAGTCAACTCAAATGAACTTGAAGAACCACTTCTAGCTCAGACTGGTGTGAAGTTTCAATTATAGTGAGTGGCACCAGAAGTGTAGCACTGTAAGCCTATATTCATATCTCCACATCCTTTTGGCAGTATAAATTTAGTCAGCAGAGGAAAAGTTTAAAATGATCAAATATCAACCAAAACAAAAATCCTGTATCACGTTCTGTAACCTTTATATTACTCCTGTAGAAGCCACCAAGGTCAACGAGTACAGAGTTGCACCTCATTCTTCTTTAATAAGACGTTATGAAACAAAAGGTTGGAGTTCAACTATTGGTACTCTTGAACCAAAAATCATGACAAGAAAGCAATCCCAATGTAAGTT